TGGAAGCAATAATAACACAATTGTTTAAGGATAACTAAGAATGTGCATCAGCTTAGGGTGCACAGTACAGTATTATTTTGTATGTACATGAGGGAAAAAGGAAGGCCTCCCATGAACAAAAAGGACTGGCATGAATTAATCCAGTACAGTACTATTGTATTGGCAGGGTTTACTGTACACACTACTGGGTACTCCTATTATATTAAGTGAATATTTTTGCTTTCAAGTTTGTTAAAAAAAATACATTACTGTACATAAGACTCCACTATACAGTATGTATAAGAAATGTGACTCTCTTTATGTATCTATTAATTTATACTAATACAGTACTGTAATGCACTAATAATACAGGCAGACCTCTTATAACAGACAAGATTGTTCTTGAGGAGTGTCCATAAAGTGGTTATTCTGTTCAAAGAGGTACGGTAATTATAACATGGTTCCTATATAGATGTTCCTAACAGTTTCACATCTTACTTTATAAATGACAGCTTTCTTGGGTAACAGTAATGGCTCTGTAATGTTCTTATGGTTTTTAATAGGTAAGATGAAGACGTTATTAACATAAATAACAAATGAAACCAAATTTTATAAACAATCAACTGTTAATTTTGTCTGAGTACAGTATTGTTTCAATGGTAGAGGATGTCATGCCAAGAGACTGACCAACATCTACTTGACAATCGCCTGCCTTAGCCTTCCATATCACTTTTATTTTAAATACCCATATTAATGACTTCCTGGTTACCTTGGCTGCTTGACCAACAAACTCACTTGTAGGCAATTTTCCTGACTAGATGGGCCAGAAATTTTCTCTTAACTCTTTGAGTGCGACAGTCAACTCTGGTCGACAACTATTTACAGAATTTACCCTCGAGTACGACAATCGCCTTAAGTTTATTGTCATTAAAAAGAAAAGTTTCCCCTTCTTCCAGCCAGCTTCAATTTTATTTTATTTTTTAACATTATAATTTTAAATTCAATCAAATTAAATACACTGTACTGTACTTGAATGCTACCAGCTGTGGCCTTCATCCCAAAAGATGAAGTGGTCGACGCATTTGAGACACTACACAAGAATATGCCACCTGAAGCCGATCCTGTTATAGACTACTTCGAAGATACATAAAGTGGCAGACAACGTCGACATAACAGGTGAGCTCCATGTTTCCCTGTCAGCATGTGGAATACATATGATCGTGTAGCCGAAGATTTTACCTCGCACCAACAACTCCATAGAAGGATGGCATATCATGTGCAAATAAACATTTCTTCATCCATCCAAATATCTGGAAGTTTCTTGAAATGTTGAAGAGGGAAAAGGCACTGATCAACATCACCAACAATCAGATGATTGCAGGAAAGCCAACACCACCTACATGGAAACATTATCAAGATTCAACAGCCAGAATAACAATCCACGTATAAGGCTTTGAGAACGACCATGTGTTGAACTTTTTGAAGGAAATAGCCCACAACTTGCAATTTTAGTGTGATATATGTCAGTGAATTCTTAAATATTGATGATGACTGATCCATATATATATTTTTTTAAATTTATCCAAAAAAATTTTATCAGTCTTTAACTAATTTTAATTTTCTAGCAGGTTTGTAGTGTTGAATTTTTTATATATACATTTTTTTGTGATTTGTGCATTTTGTGTATATAATTACTACTCCTTATTATGCAAAGAAAATAAAAAATTAATTCTTAGGTGTTATATTTTCCATGTTCTATGCCAGTCATTGATTTACTCCTTCTTTTCCCTATGATAAACAGTAAAAGTCAGTACAGATTTGCTGGCAGAGGGCAATTGTCCTATGAGGTCAGTTGTTGGGGTCCACTTGTCCAGGGAACAGTTGTCCTAGAATCATGCTGCTACCTCCGGGTGCCCACCATACACTAAAGTGGATACATACATTCCACATCAGCTGGTACGCACATGATGATATAAATAAAGAACACCAAGATTTCTGACTTTCTCTCTCCATTTTCACCATAAATTACAGACAATTTATCATTATTATAGTCTCTGTGGATGTATAGTGTATATGTATAATACTGCTACATATAACCAGATACAGTACAGTAATCTCTCCGTTAGCTGGAATCTCCAGTCCTCAGAATTATCCAATAACTGGAATGAATTTTGAGCCTTCCAGGAAATCTCTCTCCTTTCTGTGAATGGGAACGAGTTTCTTTAGATGAAATCATGCGCATTTTCCGGAAAACTTCTTAAAAATGTATCTCGGTTCCTGGTGCGTGAGTGGGCTAGCTGCTCGGGTAACTTAGGTCATAGGCTCGTGCACTTAGTTGATATTCTGCTGTCATTGTACAAGGGTGCTCCCTCGCTCACTGCTGTTTTTATGTGGTGCAGTACTGTACATAATTATACCAGGACACAATCAATCAAGAATACAGTGTTAAGACATAAAAAGTTATTACAGTTATGTATATGGTACTGTACATTCAGTAAGTGTGAAAGTAATATGTACAGTATAGTACTGTACATAGTAGAGTAGACATAATAGCCTACTGTAGGCTAGTGTGCCGAGGTGCATGTACACTATAGCATATAGCGCATGACGTTAGTAACACCTTCTACAGTAGATGGTAAAGGAAAAAAGCAGCCCATCCTGTATTATCATATCATTTGACCTGCCTGCATCACAAGCCCAAGATGACAGCATCTGCTGATGAGTAGAGTATAGTGTATACAGCAATACAATTTGTTTATTTGTGTAAATAAATACAGCTCTGTATGTCAGTGTGAAATGTGCAATTTAAACTCTCGGAAAACTTTCTCCAGCACTTGGAAAAAATCCGGGGATGTGTGTCGTCAGTGTCTATCCATGCGAGATGCATAGTTTAGAATCTCGGAAATCTTCAGTACAGTAAGTCCTCGCTTAACGTTGTTTCGGTACTACGTCGCTAAACTTTAAGAGACCAAAAATTCGTTTAACGTCCCGATGATCCGATACTACATCGTTTTGTGTCGTCAGGGACTACTTTCTACGGCGCATCACCCGCTCTTGGCTGGCTGCGCTATTCTCTCTTGGCTATCGCAGAGTCTCAGTGACTCACCACTACCCTCCTCTGCTCCCACCCTCCCGCCAACCACCTCCTCAGCTTTACTATCCACCACACGCTCGCTCTACCACCTCCACCCATAAGTGAGTACCAATACAAACTAGTATAGCCACTCCTTGACTTATGACGGGGTTAGGGACCCAAATCCAGGTTGTAAGTCGAAAATGCGTGTCTCTCTTTCTTCACAGCACCACAAAACTCACTTTTAAGCATGCCAGCCATTTTAAAGGGGATTACAAACGAAAATTTTGTCAGTACACAGCGCAATCACTAACGTCGGGACTCGAAAATACGTATTTTGACAAATTTTTGGTACTTCAGTACTGGGGTGGTCGTAAGTCGAGGAGTAGCTGTACTATAGTTGTATATGTATGCACTATTTTCTATAGAAATTGCAATGATTTTCTGTATATGTAATGTATTCCATGAGGCAAAGAGAGGCTCAGGAACCTAACACTTGTATTTTACCTATTTCTTAGGGGGAAAATTGATCCACTTAATATTGTTTCGTATAACGTCGCATTTTTAGGAAGGTAACCCCGATGTTAAGCGAGGACTTACTGTACCCGTAAAAATTCTGGGTATGTGAGAAATTTGTCTCAATACCTGGAAATCTCTCATTATTGGAAGACCTCTACATCAATTATTCTGGCTAACCGAGACACCACTTGTACAGTGACAATTAGAAGGGTTTTCGATGACAAATACTGGGGGTACTTTAATTTTTTCATGACAAAACTACATCACTAGAGCATGATCATGAAATTACCATGTGCACCCAAAGGACTAACACTCACAAGAGATTGAAAAAGAAAGAGCGTACCAAAATGGAACTAACGTGAGTGTTGGTGGGTTACACATGTTGATTAGAAGACTGCTGAGGATGTAAACAAAGATGGTTTCAGACATATTCGTTGGATCTTTAACGTTTGATACAGTTCTTTTCTTTTTCTTTTTTAATGGTACAGTACCACTATACATTAATATCTCCGAAAATCGTTCCCAAAGCCAGTATTTTTCGGAAAATTACGGCTTTGGGGGTTAATTTTCTGGAAAATTCCAAGAAAATTTGCCCGGTACCTGGAAAATTCCATGGATGGAGGATATTTTACCAGATTTGAGGGATGATGTAAGGGACAATTTCTGGAACTAACAAGAAAAGTTTTTCGTGAACCGGAAAATCCGAGGATGAGGGATTTTTTTCCAGCTTTGTTAGTCGTTTTGTTACCGGGAAACCTCTCATCCCGGAAGTGCTCTGCATCAATTGTTCCGGCTAATGGAGGTATCACTGTATTAGTTTAGGCAAACATCTTATAATTGAGCCTCATCTAATGTTTTTTCTCCTTAACGGTCATGAAAAATCTTCAGATAATAAATACAGTACAATGTGATATTTCCGTTAGCCGGAACAATTGATGCAGAGCACTTCCGGGATGAGAGGTTTCCCGGTAACAAAACGACTCACAAAGCTGGAAAAAAATCCCTCATCCTCGGATTTTCCGGAACGAAAAACTTTCCTCGTTAGTTCCATAAATTGTCCATTACATCATCTCTCAAATCCGGAAAAATATTCTCCATCCACACAATTTTAGGGCTACTGGAAAATTTTCTCGGAATTTCCAGAAAATGCGCCTGATTTTCATCACTCAAATCCAAAAAAAAAAAAAAATCCCCTATCCCTGGAGTTTTCTGGGTATCGTTAAAATTTTCTCGGATTTATCCTGAAAATCTTTCCGAAAGTTGGAATTTTCCGGAAAATTCTAGCTTTGGGAACGGTTTTCCAAGAAAATTTCAATTCCGGCTATTGGAGAGTTCCGGGTTTGAGGGATTCTGGCTCACAGAGATATTACAGTACTACTAGAAGCATTCCTTACTGTTCTATGAACCTAAAAAATTCAGATAGACTTACCACTTTTTGTCAAAATACAATTTTCCATTTTCAATTTTTGGTTCATTGCCAATGGGATCTGCTGGTGTTACCGAAGTTGTATCTGTAACATATACATAAAATGAAAAAAAATGTAAATGTTGTCTTGTCAATGACATTACTTTGGTGAATGCCATACTGTACTGCTAAGATGTAAAAAAGTAACATATACATGTACCTATCAGTAACCCACAACAGTAGTTATATTCATAAGCTCACAAAGTATAAGTTTTTAATATTCAGTACAGGTACAAGGGTATGTCCATTATAAAAAACAATAACTCTTTCTACACCTATAAATCTTTGCTATAAAAATCCATTGCCAAGTTCTAGCTTATAACTTCTACTCTTTCTTTCATATTCCTTCACCCAAACTTCCTTAAACATTTCATCCATTAAAGCCTCTAATCTCTCTTTATGATCTAAACTTTAACAAAGTCCTCCCAATCCTTCTGAAAACCAGAGCTTAGGTATGTCCATGTCAAGGCAGTTACAACTGGGATTTTTCTCCATGGACTGAGTATACATCAATGAGACAGCTGTGAGCATTCAAAGAAAAAAAAGATTCTAATGCTTTATGATGTAATATGTGATACTGTACCTTTTTTTTAAGTAAAAAACCATGTCTTCCTTTCTCGAAACATTTATACAGCATTACCGTAGGTTATGAACAGCTCACCTACTGGACATAAAAAAAAAGAAGAAAAAAAAAAAAGAGGGAAAATTCCTCCTTATACCCTTTAATTTTTTCATTTCTATCTGACTGAAGAATGCAAGTACAGTAGTTCTTGATGATATATAAAAAAAAATACTGTACATATTATAACAAATCAAGAGTTCCTCACTAACACCAACTCTTTAATTGTCAAACATTAATGATTTTCTTTCAGTGACAAGTCTATTTACTCTTACGTAGATGAGTCAACACTTCTTGAATGACTGGCCCAGTCTCAAGAGGTGAAATTGTTTGCTGGTGTCCCAGGCAATTCAGGATCTGTAACAGAAGACCTCAGAGCATAGTAGAATTGGGTTTACCCATGACATCATCATCTCACAGCTGGGATTTTAGGTATAACCATTAGCTACTTTTATCTTTAGTCTTACTTTGAAAATTTTGTCAGAAATTTAGCCAAAACCACTTCAGTTAAGCTTGAACTCATCTTCAGAGCCAGGCTCTACTTCATTGATGAAAATTTATTGACCAATTTAGGTAAGTTATGTGTGCTAACTTGACATTTGGCAGGTAAAACTGACCCAACTTATCAATTTTCCCATGGTCAAACAACCAACATATTTTCATACCTGTGGATATCATTTTGAGGTCCTAAGTCAGCCTGGAAAATCCATGGCCAAGTGAGACGGGGACTCTGTCCACATTAGATCCCAAATCCCTGAGACCCAACCATCCACCTGAAGGGGTCAACCTTGTCAATAAATCCCTAAACCATTTTGACTGTACACACTAACAGTTGACAGAAGACAAGAGGAGAACTCTGACAGAGCTTTCTGAATTATCAAGACAGCTGAAGCAACCGGTTCAGTAATGCACCCACCAACCAAACTACAGACTGGGACATACCTACAAAGGCCAGACTACTATGGCAGTTTAGTGAAAGCCAACTGGTCTTATACTCAGGTGGCACCACAAACACCTGCATAAAAGGTCTCCCTCCCAAAATGAGAAACAGAGGTTCCTAGCCATATCATACAACAGAAAGTATTCCAGCCAAGATGGCAAGTTAAATACAGTATATGATGGAACATAAACAAGCCATCCCTTTAAAGTCCAACTTGCATATATAAAGTCCATTTAACTATTCCCTTAACATACAGACATTACTTAAAACAAAAATTAAAAAGGGAGTTTTAGAATGAAATGCTGACTCTCATAAACTAGCAAATATGAAGCAACATAAAAGTTGCTTTCCACATTCCAATACTGTACTATGAACGACTTTTTTCCACAGCCTTGTACTGTGTACCAAAATCTTGCCGTGAATGATACCATTGCAGTTCACTTGTCACAGTGTAACTCTACAGTAAGGGATTGTTTAAAAAAAAATATATTTACTAAACCTAATGAGAGAATACAGTATATCCTTAGTCTCATTGAGGAGTGAGTGAGGGGAAGGAGCATATAATGAAGAGATTCAGAGTTAATAGGTGGTTTCCTTCACCCAAATGTAAAGGTAAGAAAGAAGAACTTCCCAAGGTGGGAGGCTGAAATATGAATGGGGAAGAGAGAGGAGTAAAAATAATCGATAACAGAAACACCACAACTTTAAAAAGAATTCCTAAAATGATCAATGAAACACCAGTCACATGTCATACAAAATGGATGTTAGTAGTCTGCGAGATGGCAGAAAAACCACATTGCCTTTGACCTAATTTATGAAGAAGAATCTTGTTAACCTATTCTTTCCAAGGCATAAGAATCTCGGCTGTACTAATTCACTAGGAACAAATTCCCTTAGTGTTAACTGGAACTAGATACATGTATCTGAACTCCCATGTCCACCAAATGGATAACCAGCCACATCCACATACAGTATACAAATACACCATGTCCACTGTCCCCCACAGATTCTACTCCAAGACAATTTTTTTTAGTTTTGCTCTGGCCTTTGTTCATTATTTCAGCCAATCAGAGGACACACAAGACACAATCCATTACATTACATCTTGAGATGAGGGGCAGTTCATGCATCTTCCTTGTTCTCTGTGTGTTTCAAACCACTTGACAAGAAAACTAATGGTTGATTGTTTGGCATAGAATATATTGCTATTGTTCCAGGCAGCCATTCGCATAACACTGCCAAGTAACACCCTAGTCAGAATGCCTGGCTGCTCACAGTAGTCTGGACATATGGTGGACAGTAGATGAGTGGTGAGTGAGTGGTAGAACAACTTAAGAGATAAGAGTCCCACAAATCTCATCCTGATATTACATCCAACTGAAGCAATATTCACTACAGTCAGATACCAGACAATAGGGATATTCCTAACACAGGTCATGTTGCAAAAAGAAGCACAAATAAATCAATGTGATGCACAGAGAACAATCATATGAATGGAATTGTGTCCCTGTAAATCCTTCATCGTGTGTTACCTTGAGGCTACCCAACATTATAAATAATACAGTAAAACCTCCATATTTGTAATTCCATTAATCAAAATTTGTCATAATTTGGCTATTTTAAAAAATTCATAACCTCAAAATTTGCATAAGCAGAAATCCAATAAAATTAACCACGACTGTATTTACTATTTATGTGAAAAATAGGGATGCATTCTTTAACTTATACTATACTGCCCCAGGCCCATTTCAACAAATGTTTCATGACATTCAAACCATAACAACATAATAAAACAAAATACTAATAAAAAAAAAATGTAAAACAAGATTTCAAACATTACACTAAGTTCAGTCAAGGCTCATCTGAAAGTTGTCCCAACTCAAATCTACAAATCACTTATTATTTTTTATATTTCTCTCCTAACAAAATGATTATACACTATACCCTCATTAATTCAACAAGACAGAGGCTCTGGGTCACTCAAATTACAGAAAAACCTGAATTAACCAAGTTCGGAATATTTTGATATGTGACAAATTCTGAATTTTTGTGTTCAATTATTCGTTCGTTTTCTGTTCAGTTTTTGTGCCTTGCCTTGGCTACCACATAAAAGAATCTATTTATAATTACTGTGCAAACAAATATTTTTTAAAATGTACATACTGTAATAATAAAGTAAATAATACAGTAACAAATAAAAGTAACACTGCAAGGTGAGGGGTGAGGCGATGAGGCAAGAGGTGAGGCGATGAGGCAGGAGGAGAGGGGATGTGACAAGGCACTTACACAGCACACACATTAATAGCACTACTAAACCAGTTTGATAACATTTTAATTTCTAATATAAAATTAAATGATACATGATGGCTCGATCAGGCTACCTTTGCACTTAAAAAAAACTAATCAGTGAATAAACCCAGGCACATGGAGACGTATATATGCTATAATACTATTTACTAAGTGTTCAAGACATCATGTGGTAAGCACCAACTCCCTTGAGCAGCACCAACAAATGCTTGAGAGATGGTGAGTGCTGGCAACATTGTTAGGGAGAGCAGGAATGATCAGCAGTTACTGAACTCTGTAAACAAGTGACTGTGAATATACTATGGCACAATAGCTCATCTGGGATTGAGTGTGGGATTTTTTGGGGGAAAATTAATTATCTTTCGATAATGTTTTATTTACCGGGCACCAAATGAACCAAATAATATGGCAATTATTGTGAAATTGCATACTGTCATTATAAAGGGATTGCAGGCTGACAAGCGTGGGAGGTGAGTTGTCCTCTTCTCCCCGGCTATGCACCCAAATGTAGTTTTGTACAGTGTCTTAACACTCTTGGGACTATATATGCATAAGGTGCATTTTAATTTATTGTAAATAAAACTTAAGGCTAGGTGGCAATCCATCTCTGTGCGGTGGACCATGCCGTAACAGACAACATATAACAGTAATGCTTCTGCCTCAGTAAGCAGCGAGTGTCTCGGTTCCAGGCACAATTTAAAAATGGCCACTATGGTGTTTGCGCCGCTATCTCAATATATATTTTTATGAAGTGATGCGTATTGAAATATTTCTAGTGAAATAGTGAAATATTTTTTAACTTACGAGACGGTGAAATGGCTACTCACAATACAGTCACATATACCACACAAAAGCATGTTGTAATATATAGGCCTAGTTTGGAGGGAAAAAAGTGATAAGTAAACTGCAGTGCAGTAAAGGCATGCATGTGGGGAATTACAATGAATATATTGTGCTTATTTGATACATATTCCTAATGCCAATCGCCATTGTCGTGCATATGCCAAAGCCTACCTCGTCTGAGTGATAAGTGGAAATACAGGTATTAATTGCCCAAATTTCAGTTTTTGTCACAGAAACTTCTAACTGGTCTATTTCTCTTCCTTAGTAGGTGTACAGTAATAATCTAAAAAGGAAAACAAATGAGTGTAAAAATTTCGGCGACTGTGCACCTAACCAC